GTTTGGGGCGGGAAGGAAACGGAGATGAACTCTGGAAGACTGGATATTCAGTAAGTGCCTCGAAGAGTACAACAATGCCAAAGGTGCTAAGAGGTCTCTAGCCACTACTCCGTGGCGACCTAGTAGTGCGAACACACAAGCATAGCCGATATATGCACTCTACGGCCACTCCATCAATATGGCATCGAAGAGGTAATTAGGCCCCCGGGGAGACGACTCGTGACTGGGGCACACCGGATCGCATTCTTGGTCCTAGACAAGCAAGAGAGATCCAAGGCTTTGGTATCGGCAGCGAGTTGGCATTCTGCTACAGTTCTCTGTCCGCCGAATCGAGGCTCAAGCAGAGAGAGAACCTGTCGGGAGGTTGAAAGATAACCCCTCATTCCAGCTAGACATGTTTTTGGCTGAGAGATTTGAGGGACTGTGGATGAAAGTGAGGTTGCGCCAAGCTGAAGTGAGCGTACCCGATGGTATCAAAACGACTCTTCGAGTATCTTCGAGGATAAAGGTTAGACGAGGCTGACACCCCCCGCTAATAGTTTGAACGAATGGAACACGCCTTAGGAGCACTCTTCGCCTTGGAGGGGAAGCAACCGCAGACATGGGTCAACGGTTCCCGCCTTGTTCCGAGAAATCCCTTCCCGTTGAGGAGAAAAATCAGGCCAAATTAGCTCCCGAGGCCCCTGGAATACCCCGGGCTTGGCAATTAGATCTGGTGGGTGACAGATTACAAAGACCGACAAAGTACAGTGGATCTCGGGGCGGCGCCGGCATTGCGCTGGGGCTACCCTACCCTGGGGGCCGCTCTGCCACCGTGATTACTTTCCTTTCTCTGACACAAGCGGCCTGGGGAGGGAAGAAGGGGGTAATCCCGAGGATTTGGCGCTGGGAGGGTCGTCTCGGCGTGGTGAGGACACGGGTGTTAAAGAGGAAGGGGGCTAGGCCTACAGAGACATGTAGGGCCTAGCCGGTAGACCGGAGATACAGAGGTACAGGGGTACAGAGGTACTTTGCAGGTGCCGCACCAAGCCGCTGCTCTGCTGTGACCGTGGCTCTGGCCATCGCGCTGAGCCGTGGATAGCAGCCGGGGGGCCAATTGCAAGCAGAGCATGTGCACACCCCTGGCCATCCACCCTCAGATCAATCACCACACGTTCCGGCAGGGTAGGTACCAGCATTGGAACCAGTGGGTTGCGACATTGCGTCAGACTATTGGCGAGCGTTGGCGGGTGGGTGTGTCCATGTCCATATGCACTATGTTTGTGAAAATGCTGTCTCAAGTTTGTGAGCACCTGACCAGCTATAAAAGCCGTCCCTCCGGCTTTCATGTAGGAGTTAGGTTCCTTATTCTCTTCATCAACAAACTATAGACAGAAGCCTTGAGCAATTCCTCCAGAGCAAGCAAAGACTTTGAAATCTACGCCAACTTCTTGTGCCACAGCTCCCCAAGCAAAACTACAATTCTCACGCAATGGCTACTCCTCCCAGGACCAACAACTTCCTCGTCCTTACTGCTGAGCCAGAGCCTCCCAGGCGCCGCTCTTCCACTTTCCTCTCTCTTGCTCCCGATACCTCATCCTCCTGGCCCCAGATGCCCGTGAGCCGTGGCTCTGTCAGCAGCGCTGATGGCGCCCAGCCCGAGCCTCGCCGCCGCATTTCGAGCGTGAGCAGCGGCTCCCGAGTGCTCAAGCTCGGCCCCGTCCACTGGGGCGAGCACCTGGATGACCACAAGGAGGATTTCCATGAGATCTCCCAATAAATGGACCACACACACCACCACTGAGAGGGGCAGATCCCCTTGGGGCCTTTGATTAGCAAGGGTCCGCAATGACCACACCCATTCCCCCCACCCCTCTTCTACGCCATTGGAACGGGCGGGAACGAGCTTGGTTTTTGTTTGAAGCTAAAGCACCAAAAAAAAGTTACAAGGATCTTTCACCATTGAAAAAAAAAAAAAAAAAAAAAAAAAAAAAACACAAAATAAACGAGGGTATGGATCAATTTGTCAGTGGCAGTGGTCACAAGGGGCGGTAGCTGGAAGTTTGGCCACCCATGACGCAGTGGGCTTTGCTTCCGTGTTTCTTCTACTAACTTCTGATTGGGTTTTGTTTTATTTGCTGGCAAGCGTGATATGATATTCGACGATCTCAAACGGATGGATTTTGATTGGCCAAGGGGCTTATTTCACTTTTATGAACCGGGGGAAAATGTATCTTTAGGGCCCAGACTGGACTTTGAATGACAATGGCTCAAGAATGCATTAATTGGATCTTGTAAGCTGAACCGATCCCCCCAAACCACATGACGTTATGGCGCTACCCTTTGTGAAATGAGCTTGCTGGTGGGGGGCGACGGTTGTGAGTGGCCCGGGTCGGCTGCATGACGTTGGGGGACAGCCTTGCCCGGCGCATGAAGGCGAAGCCGTAACTACGAAAGCCAGATCCGAGGCAAGATAAGACCGACAGGAGTCTCACCTTTGTCTTCGGGCTCTGCAGTTTTTTTTTTTTTCCTCCTCCCTTCCTCATGCACCGTAACGTGGAGCGGGGGGTTGCAGGCTGCATTGCATACCTCCATACAAGGTGGAGTGGGGATGCAGATGGTGCTTCGCCGCTCCACACGCTCTCAGAGCAGACAAGCCAGATAGAGCAGGCTTGGGAGGGCCCCAGCAGGAGCCAGAGGAGGGGGCGCCAGCGTAGCATCCATGTCGCCGAACGAACCTCTGGAACAAGCTCTGAGACCAGTCTGGGGCGCTGTGATTCGCCCTGCTCCAGCACGCGAAATCTGATCTCTAGCCGGTCTCCCTGCCTCCACGGGCTAACCCTCCCCCCTGCCGCTATGGGACATTTAACTCTGAGATTTGCGGCGTGCCGGCGAGACAAGGCTTTGGTCAGATGACCACTTGTCTCACTGCTATTTACTTTCTTACTTTTCGGTACTTGTCGTGCTAGGCTGCGGTGGTTCAGAAGCCAGGATGGGATAGGATAGTCTGGCGGAAGTCCCCAGTTGAGAAGCTCGCCCGTGTCTTGTGTCCCATTGCGCAACGCGCCACCGACAAAGGTGCTTGTTTCCGTGTCTCTTGACTATCATAATTTTTTTTTTCAACTCGCATGTTCCCTTCTCCCACCCCCTCCCACTTCCCATCTAGAAGACAAACCCTTGTTGCTGGCGATGGGGAAACAAGATCATGCGAGGTCGCCACATGTAAGATACCGGCCCGGGGGTGGGAAAGCAGAGTTCTCGACCTGGGCAGAATTCAGAGTGGGTGGTTTGCGCTGCTCTGGCAGCCGGGGTGCGACAACTCGCATGCCCACCCTTTTCCAAACAGTTTAGTTATGCACATGTGCGTTCAGTCTGTGTGTCTTTTTCCGGGTCGGATAGCTGCGGCAATGCCGAGGGGCAAGGGGACCGCGGAGAGAATGGGGGTCATTACACACACGCAGAGGGAAGCTGGCTTGGGCTGGGTCGTGGGATTCAATTGAGTTGCGTACCATGTATTACTATAGTGAGACATACAGAAACAACATCATATCTAGTGGGATCGTGGGGGGCGGGGGAATAAGCAAGCCAGACAACCGGTCCGTGCTTTTCATCAACGTCCCAATCATGTTGGCTGGTCTGTCTCATACCCTGAATCTTGTTTTCGCCGTGCACTGCAGAACGGGGGGGCGAAGGCGCGACCAAGACACTACATACACTGGCTGGGGCGAAAGAGGAAAGGGGAAAATAAAATCAGCAGGTAGGGAAAATGTGCATATGTAATGCGATGCGATGCGATGCGATGCGTGTGATGTGGGTGGGAGTGGGTTTCGCCTGGACCTGCACGCTGCAACGGCCAGCAGACGGGAAAGGGCTGCTGCTCGGGGTTCGGGGGATTCGGGGAACAATGAATGGATGTCTGTAGAATAGAGTAATAGCCCGGTCGTCTTGGTAATATCCTTTGCCCCGCGAAGTTTTGGGAGGAGTGGAGTAGCAGAGATCGAGCATCCACCGCTGGCACGCGCTGAGTAATGGCCGGATCGTGAAGTCTGTTGTGTCTGAGCCCGCCCGAGTCTGTTGGTCATGGGCAGCAGCACCGCTGCAGGCGCTGGAAAGACACTGCAAGAACCCTTTCGGGCGAGATAAGACGATGGGGTGGAGATGGCAGCCCGCCCAGCACATGGATGATGGGCTAATCTAACCTCACTCTGGGCCATGTCCACGCACGGGCCAGAGCTAAACGCTGCTACCTTGAGGCTGGTCTCGCCGTGGTTGGCCTGGCGAGCCTGCACTGTCCTGTCCTCTCCTGCTGCTCCCATGCACGTCCGGGCAGGCCATCGCGAGTTGGCCCCCTGTCATGCTAGTCGTCTTGGTCCTGAAGCCTGTCGTTTTCGAGCCTCTGTTTTCTTTCCTGCCCCTTCTGGGAACACAGACTCTCCTCCTGGTCCAAACCCCCATCCAGCCGAGGATCTGAATATTACTACATACTTCTGCTACGTAGATTGATCCGGTGATTGGAGCTTCCCGGTCACCACATGCCCAAGAGACACGAGAATCAGGCCAGTCTCGGGCAAGCGAACAGCAACTTTCCCATTCCCAATCCAGCTGATGTGCAATGCCTGGAAGGCCATGCACAGGAAGGCCGCTAACACCGTGATCGCCGTGCAAGCCTGTGACACTAAGCCCAACACACCAATTTGCCAACCTTGCTCCTCGATTCCGTGCTGACGATGGTCATTGGCATTACAAATCTGGGCAGAAACAGCTGGTAGATCTGAAATCGAGTATTGTGTTCCTATTCTGGCCTCCTCGTGGAGCCTGTATTGTCGGCAATAGCAGCAGCAGCTAGAGCGTCAAAGCTCGGCATACTGGAGTCCGTAGCAGGCGATGTTCAAGTTTCTCAGTTCTCACATCACCCACTTGCCGTGAATAGATGAAAGCACGAAACCAATGAACACCATATACCCCCCACCCCCTTTCCCCGCCAAAAAGACACGAGAAGCTCAGAAGCCTGCTTTTTGAAACTAAACGCTAGTCTTCCAGTCCGCAGCCTGCATCTCAGCTGCGCTCTCCAGCACCTTGCGCCAATCAAGCTCAACCACCTGCTCCTCCTGGTGGTGTACGAGGTCTCGCCCATCCCGGCCGTCGTCGTCGCGCCTGCTCCCATCCAGCCCCTGCGACGTGTCGCTCTGGAACTGATCCCACCCAGCGTGATGGCGACCCTCAATCCACAAGCCCGAGTGCCCCAGGTCCGGGTCCGCCAAGAGCCGCAGCAGGCCAGCGAGCGGTGGCCGCCCTGCTGCCGCCTGGGGAGGAGGGTACGCGATACGAGGGCGGCGGGCTCCGGGTGTCGACGACGACGAAGACGAAGACGAGAGAGCCTCCAGCGTCGTAGCCAGGTAGAGGCGTAGCTGCTGCAGGTGCCCGTGCATGATCATGTCCGAGACGACCGGGACGATGTCGTCCTGTATCCATCCCCTTAGCCGGTCCACGCGGATGGTGAGGTTCTGGAGCCTGCGCAGGGCAGGCACGGTGGCCAGCAGGGGACGGCGCCGCCTGTGGGTGGGCAGCGAGAAGAACGACCCGTCCGGGGCGTGCCTGTGGGAGTTGCTGTGGTTCCCAATGTCCTTGATCAGGAACTTGTCGTCCTGGACTGCCTCGAAGACCTCCCGCCTCCTCCGGACATGTGAGCTATGCTCTCCCGCGAGATCCAGGAGGAAGCTATTGCTCGGCCCGTAGAGTAGTGGGCAGGCGATGGCGTGGAGACGAGGATGGGTCAGGAGGATGGACAGGACGGACCGGGGAGGGAACGGGGCGGGCGAGCAGGGACAGAGCAGGATGGGCGTGTGGTCCGGCGTAGTCAGTAGCGGCTGGAGGATCTGGCTGAGGATCTCGATGGGGAGCTCCAGGAAGTTGATGGGCTCGGGGCATGCCATGTCTCGCGTTAGGCGATGCTCCAACTCATCGGTTTATTATGTGATGACACCACGTGGAGCTGGCCGGTTGCATTATTTGGTGAGAGTGGGTAGTCAATCGACAAGAGACAGAACACGCGACACTCGTAGAACCGGGTCGTGTTGAGAGCGTGAGTGAAGTATGCAAGGCAGGGATGTGTCCGGTGAAGTTATCCCCGCGATCGTCGCCGCCAGTAGCTGCGTGTGGGGTTTGGACACGTGCTGCCGGCCCTGGGCAGAAACTCTACAGAGCCTCATCCATTTGAAGGCTTTCAAGTGAGTTACAGCGCTCTCTTTGAAAACCAGTGGCCAACTTGCATCATTTGGAATTTTTATATACGCAAAAAAACCTGCCACAGCTAGGAGAAAGATATCTCAAACATGCTTCTCATTGAGGAACCTAGCTTCATCTACCCTACATACACCACCAAGAAGTTCTCCTCCCTGCTGTACCCTGAGCATGAGCGTCTCCTTCGCAGATGCACGTATCAATAACGGGAGAGGCGAAATATATTGTCGATCAAGGATGGGGTGTTTCCTTTTGAAATAATGCATTGACTGTAAAACGATTTGACGTCGACATGGGAAGGAGTGTTCGTTGCTGAATGGCCCTTGGTATAGTTTCGAAGCTCCTGTCCTAGTCAAAGAGAAGGCCGCGCCACTTTATGTATATAACTTCCTCTATTAAAAAGGTCAAGCTTTTATTCGAATCTACGTCTTTGGAAATGTCTAGAATCGTTGTCGTTATCTACTAGCTGTTTCACTCGCACTTCGACGCTGATGGTCCTGGATGAGGGGTTCATCCTACCGAGAACCACAACAGTGAACGAGGGCTAGTTGGGATAATTGATTTTTGGTCTCGCTCGAATTCCGCCGCGAGGACCCAAGACCGAGCCTGCAACACTTCAAAAACTCTGTTGGGCGTGGGTTTTCTTGGGACCACTTGACACCACACCGAGGATTGATCCCCTTGGTAAACCTGTCACCGCGAGCTCTGTTTCGTTTTTGGCTACAGCACGGGAGTCGCTTTAGATGAAAGACACAGGGTAGGTAGCTTCCGCTTCATTTTGCTAACAAAAGTGAGGAGCGGGACACACAAGCCCCGGATTCCCCCTTCACCAACCACAAAATCCAAATTCGATGCCCCCTCTCCTTTTTCACCTCATGTTCTTGCATCGCGCCATCGTTGGCTTGGATGCTACCGATAGTAAACTAGCCGCTTATTCGTCTTTCGGTTCACGCCACTCGCCTTTTCATTCTCGCCTCATTCGATTTGCTTCAGTCCTCTCAGCTCACTTTCGTGACGGCGCGACTCCCCTCACTGGAGGGATTATCTGACTTTACATCACCCATGGACCGCGTAAAGAGAAGACCAGACGGCCTCTGGGCGCCGAGGGGAGGTTTGTTTCCCCCGCTTCTTCAACCGAACGTCGCCGTCCACGCACGCTTCCGATCCTTATTCCCCGTCTACCGGACCCTGACCTCTTTACTAACTCTGCCACGGTGAGCAGAAGCACCTGTTCTATAGACACAATGTCGATAAGTCCCACTCGCTCGCTATGGTGGTCTTCTCCAACTTTTCGCCTTGGGTAGAGGAGCTAGAAATCTCTCTTGCATAGCACCTGGTCCCTCACAATCTAACCTCTCAAAAGAGACATCTCACGCCGTTCAACGTTTCCCGCCTGTCTCTCATCCCGCTGAAAGCGGATCGCGGGAGTATCCAGGGCTGTCACATTGCCATTCTCATGTACTGTTAAATCGGCAACTGAACAGGTTAACCTACTGTCCTCGCGTATCTTTTCTCCGTGCGGAAAGTAAGGAGCGTAACAATTTTCAGCTACCTCCATCTCGAGACACCCTGAGACTTCTCAAGCCATTGGACCAATCCTCTTCTCTACAAGTACTGTCACTACAGGAGTGGAGAAAAACACTTCGGCATTTTGCGTCAGAATATTCTAGTGAAGATGAGACTGTCTACAACTCAACTCACCAAGTCGCCTGTCCTCTTGACGATGTCGGCGCACATGCCATCGAAGCTATTGTTAATCACCCTGAAGCGAGGAAAGAGGAAAGATGGAGTTTAAGTGAAAGAACTATCTGGACATCCGGACACAACCTGGAAGCCTGAATCCTTCTCTTGAGGATGGCATTCCCACATTTCTTCGTCGTTACAAGGCGTGACTGATTTTGTCATCTTGTACCGCATGCTCTGCCTGGTCCTGGGCATGACCTAAAACTGCCTACCAAGTCGCTATAAGACGTCGCTGATTTTGTCCCAGCGACCTTGTACCGCGGGCCCAAGTATGCGAGATTACGGCTCAACGTGTCTGCTTCTTGTCGTTGACAACGACGCGCTATTCATTGCGGTCGTCCTGCTCCCTAGCATAACAAATTTACAAACCTTCACTACTAGCACCGCCGATTCTGTGAAGATCGGTGTATTCGTTACAATGCGTCGCTGATTTTATCCCAGCGACCTTGTAGCGCGGGCTACAAGTATGTGAGACCATGGGTTACTGTGGTTGCTTCTTGTGGTTGACAACGGTGCGCTATTCATTGCGGTCGTTCCTCATACCAACTTTTTAGATATCTACAACATCTTACCACGCGTATCACGTATGCCTCTGGTTTCCTCGGTACCGTCTCTCATGGAACCCAGTTGAATCGGATGCTGAAGTCGCTGACCCTGACGCTGACGTTGATGGCAACTAAGAGGCGGTTGAGCGGGTAGCCGAACAACAGGCCCGGAACAACTTGCCCTCGAAAAGATTGAGAGTCTTGATGATTTTCTCGCTCCTCGATTCTCTTTGGACCTGGTTTGGGACAATGTGGGTTGTTTCGCCGTCAAGACGCATTCATACAACAAACTCTTCGATTAAGTCAAGGTGGCGTTCAACCTCGCTAATCCGAAGGATGTCGCCGTCGAGCAATGACATGCCTCAACTTGGTCACAGTATCTGCGAAATTACATGCGACATTGACGGTAGTCCCGTCGTGATCTGGAGCCAGACAGCCCGGAATGAGCTTGACTCTTGTTCTCCCCACATCAGAGACTAGTTCGAGAATACCATCAATCAAATCAAGGCGACCAAGGCAGGAAGTTCATTTAGAATGAACCTCCTTCCGTACCCAGGAATGTTCACACTGTGGGCTGCTTTGACGTTGAAGAACCTCGACCTTCAGCAATTGCTCTCCGATACTGCCGCAATCCAACATTCTATTGTGGTTTTCAGACCTCCCACTACGAAATCTCTGCCAGGAAACTTGAGACACCTTTGATGTGACCGCCTTCATAGATGGGGATTATCGTGCTGTCGCTTTAATTTCTGGCATGGTTGAGGCATATGAATATAAGCTCTCTTTCATAGCTTGCTGTGGAGAACATTTTTTGACTGCACCTTAATACCCATCACTCGAACTGAGGAGACGCTCACTGCAACTGAATCTATGGAGTCCTATGTTGAAAGACACGGTATTGCTCCTGCCAGTTGGCACAAAGAGCACGTCCTTGTCGTGCGATCTGCATTTCATGAAGTGGGATTAAGGGTTGGTATACTTCTTGGTTGGGAATATGCACAGCATGATATTTCTGATGATTCAATGGCAAACCAGTAGAAGACAAACCTGAAATCTAACCTGATTCGAGCACCGAGTGCCGCTCAGTTAGCATCCGCCAGTTTCACCGATGATGGAAGAGCTAGATTGACAAAATTGTTTAGCGAGGTACCCGACGAGGGCATCCTGGAAGGTAATGGGTAAAAGGACCTGAGAAGGTACTTCACGCTGTTGCTCATGCACTATATGGCCCCTGATCCTGAAGAAACTCACGCTGGGCGAGACACCAACAGGATTGAGAGAGCCAGAGTCATCGGCCATGAGCTCTCCCGCAAATCAGATGAGGACGACCAACTTGACGCATTTCAGCTTGAATTGACGAAAAATAGTCTTACAATTCGTGAGCAATAGCTCAACGGTGGGCATGATTGGCGTGGTGTCAGGCTTCGCAATCCGAAGACGTCACTCGAGATATTGCAGCTTTCCGCTTGCACGCACTAATACAGCAGAGCTGGCACCTAGGCCACTCCTTCCCCAGGATGGTTTGAGGCTTCTCATAGACGACATGTTGGAGGGACACATTTTCGAAGGTCACTTCTATCAACGAGCTGATGGAAAGACATGCCGACAAATGGGTACTGCTGTGAAGTTACTCGTCGTACTGTCAATTAAGAGCACCCAGAAGAAATGGTGGAAGAGCATTGGGCATTTTGCTGAGGACCTTGAGGTATATGATCTGCTCGCTGAACTGCGAGGACTGCGCTGGGACCTGAAGTACGGGATATCCTCCAAGCAACACGCAGCGGCCGGGACACACTTGACACCTCGGAAAGTGTCTCACGAAATGAAATCAGGAATTCTATTAATACACTCCACCTCGACCTTAATACCTTGTGGCCCTATATGAGAAAACTCTGGACAAGAGGGGCGGACTGGCAGATGGAGTGTACACCCACGTAGCTAATGTATTACCGTTCCTAGCCGCCCCTTAATCAGGCTCAACTTAACCCATCACTTTGTATCACATCTATCCATTCATTGCTGAATATGTTCTGGTCAATAGTATCTTCCCAGGTGGAGCTTCGCCAAACTTGAAGGTAATCTTGGCGTGCAATCGCTCGTATGTGTTCAGTAGTACTCGGGGGTTTAAGACATCTTGAAGAGCACCGTGATAGACAGCCTCGAGGGCTTTGATTTCCTATGATCACCATACTCTAGGCAAAGAAAGAGGAGACATGGCGATGAAAACCAGGGACCTTTTCAACTAAAGCACGTAGGTCGGACGTCGCGAGCAGACTAGGCAGCATAAAATCAAGACCGGTATATCGTTTTTCGTTCCTCTAAATCATTCCCAGTTTGTTCCCCTTGGCAAGGCCCATCCACATCCAATGTCACGAAAGCTTTCTTGGTATATCTAGCTAGACAGG